CGACGACCCCTGCCGTTTCACGATACATCAGGAGGTCACCGGAGGTAAGCCGGGATCGCTACTTAGGCTGGCACGAACGCAAACCTGACGGATTAATCGCCCCAAGTGCGAATAAGCTCCTGATTATCAATACTTTTAGACTTTATTATTATAATTAGTGGTAATTTTAGTGGTTACAACGTCAGAGCTTATTGTTTTTGAAGAATGGGGCTATTTTAATCTAATCATCTATTCATAACAAGCATTATCTCACGCTTAATGCGTCCAAGAAAATTATCCCTCGAGGAACCTCAGTAATTTTTTTTTAAATTCAATATTTAATAATAGTAATATTAATTTTATAACGATATTTTTTATTCAATTAAAAAAAAATGCCTATAACAGTTTTTTATAGATCGTAGCGATGGTCAATTAACAACTTGAAAAATGGAAAAAACAACATAATAAAGTATTAGTTGTAGATCAATAAAAAAAAAATAAATAAAACTTGAAATAACAATGTTTAAAAGATAACAAAAAAATACTTTGAGAACAAAAATAAAATTTATAAGTGTTACGTTCCTGTTAAATTTATAATATTTAATTAAATTTTTAATTCAAAAATTTTAACTGCTTCGTTGATGATGAATAAAATTCATCATCAGCGAAGTAACGGAAATCGCTTGTGATAAGAGAGTCGCCGGGCTCTAGCCTAAACATCGTGAGAGCTGGACTCCGACGACTTCTCTAGGGTAACCTGAGATGCAACGTTGTCAATTTTATTAATTTTTATAATTCTTTGTACTCTGGATGCAAATCCAGAGCAGTCAGCCTGAGTAAGTCAGCCGATGAACATCTTCGGCCCCGGACTTATGTCCGGAGATGAACTGACTCCACCCAAATTATTAAGTTTTACAATATATTTTAACTAACGAAATTTTGTTGATTTATTTTCAATAAAACCATTCCTAAGGTTCTTATAATTTTGAGAGAGGGTCTAGTGACAAGGCCCAATTGGAGTCTGTCGACTACCTAACGCGGCTAAGCCTGAATGATAATTAAATTTAAATATCTCAAATTTTGAGAACGTAACAATAAGTTAGTTTAATTTTATCTGGCTAATCTACTGACTTCAAGAAATAAAAAAACTTTGTTGTTTCAAAATCAATAAAATTTTAATGATTGGATTTCTAATAACGAATATCAATTCCCAAGAAATGCAAATATTTCAAGTGGGTGATACGATAAACGAATTGACTGGAGATCTTCCAATAAGATTAATAAGTGATAACATATTCAATGGCTACAACCGGTCTAAGTTTATTGACAAGAAAACATTCAAAAGTAATAATTACATACTATCATTTGAATCTTGCTTATTATTTGAATCTTTGTACATGCATCTTTATCCAACTGTTTATGTTGACGATCAAAATTCAACTGCCGTTCAAATGAGATTATTTAAATACATAGATTTTATAAGGGGTAAAGATTTGGGAATTAATTGCAATTACGTTAATGATGACTTTTATCCCGAGTCAAAATTTAAATCGTAGATTCAACGTATTGAACGTTCAAATCGTAGGTTGAGCGTATTAGACGTTGAAAACGTAGGATCAACGTATTGAACGTTGAAATCGTCATTTGAACGTAATGAACGTTAAAGACGTATGTTGAACGTATTATTTAACGTATTATAAATGTGAAGAGAACCAATAATGGCTGAAAAAAGTAATATTAAAACTACTCAAATAACTACAGATTTTTAATTTTCTTAGCGGAAAGTTAAAAATTGTAATTTTTTTTTGTAAAAATTCAGTGGTATAAAATTTTATAAAATCATCTAAAACGTTATCCTGTTATATACAGATTTATGAGGCCATTTTTGGTATAAAATCGTATGAATGATATTTCATAAAGTTAAACATAATTTTGGAAACCATTCCGAGGGTAAAAATTTCGATAAAGCATTTTTCTCTAAAAAATAGTAAATTTAAGCTAAACAAATGTAAAATCTCTCTAACAGAACTGAAAAAAAATTTTTTTTGTCTATTTACGTTTCAAACATGTGCAGTTATTTGAGTAGTTTTAATATTACTTATATCATTCATTATTGGTTCTCTTTACATTTATAACACAGCTCTACAAAAAAAATATTTTTTTGTGTTGCCTTGGATATTTTTGCAAATTTTTATGTTTTCGAGTACCTAAATTACGAATATATTCATGAAAATACTGAATGTGCTCTTTTTTTATGATTTTTACGTATCTTATATTTTGAACAATTATCAGCTTGTTAGTACTAAAATTTGTTTTCCCAGTCCTGATTAAGCTTCTGCGCATCTTTTTTGCGCATACAAACATCACTTGATCTCCACTCTCAGACTCCTTGCTCCGCAAAACAGCTCATTTGTCGAAAATTTCCGAAGCTTAGTATGGAAAAGTTGAAAGGTGGAATATTTGATGGTCCTCAAATACGGCAATTGATAAAAGACGCAGATTTTATTAAAGTTATGACTGTTCCGGAAAGTGAAGCTTAGGAAAGTTTTGTGTTGGTAGTCGAAAATTTCCTAGGTAACCATAAAGCACCAAATTATGAAGAAATTGTACAAAATATGCTGACAAATTTTCAGACTCTAGGAGCAAATATGAATATCAAGTTACACTATCTCCGCAATCATTTGGATAAATTTCCAGATAATTTAAGAAATTATAGTGAGGAACAAGGAGAGCGGTTCCACCAGGATCTGAAAGTAATGGAAGAAAGATATCAGGGTCGATGGGAGTGTCATATGATGGCAGATTACTGCTGGTCTTTAAAAAGAGATTGTCCCCGGAAAAATTATAAAAGAAAAGCTCTTAAAAGGCGTTTTATGGAAATATAACATGTTTTCCAAATTTTCCTCTCTATTTACTTGGATATATCATATTTTTATCCAAATAAAACTGACATTATAAATATATCTGTTATTTTGTTTCTCGTTTTCCGATTTTTGTAATGTAAAATAAAAATAAGTATTTAAAAAAAAACGAAAGCAAATCTTACAAAATCATTCATAATTTCATGAATTGTGAGTATAAATATATCCAAAATCAATCTTATATCTAGGGCAACAAAACCACTGTAGACCAGTGTAATACGTTCGATACGTTCAACATACGTTTTAAACGTTTATAACGTTCAAATGACGATTTTAACGTTCAATAAGTTGATTCTACGTTTTCAACGTCTAATACGCTCAACCTACGATTTGAACGTTCAATACGTTGAATCTACGATTTAAATTTCGACTCGGAGTAGTTACGGAATTGTTAAGCTGTGTAAAGTTGTAGAAACTGAAGAAGTAAACATCGAATTGTTGGATGAAAAATATTTTCTAAAAATCGATCAAGGAATTGACCATCTAGCTTTTATGAATAAAACGGGTATTTATCGATTAAAACAAGATGACCAATCTTATTATGTTTCCTCGATTTCTACTGGAACTTGTATAACTCAGGTAAGAAAAAATTTTAAATATTTACACCGCTCAAAAATCAAGCAGACAATAATCTCTAATTATATTTTGAAAATTATAGATTTATATACAAGATAAGATAACATGTATGAAAAATGACGCTAATGAATCATTTAATTTTAACAACTTATTCTTTGGACTCTCTATATACAAAAGTCAACTCAAAACTGTCAATAATAATCACGAACTTGAGGATTTAATTAACAACTACTATTTCCTTAACAACATCGATTATTCTTTATACAAATTTCCAGATTTAGAATGGATTCATCAAGATAATATATTGAAAATGTTTCAGAAGAATTCTATAGTGGTTCTAAAATTAAATTCACTGCCTGAGGTACCGCGTCTCGTTAAATCGCGAAATACAACAATGTTATTAAAGTCAATCAATAAAAATGTAGAAGATTTGAGTCCTGGCGATCTATTAAATTTCCATGAATTACTTGCTCAAAAGTCCAACCGTGTTTTTGTTAAAAATTTATCATTTAATATCGTTAATGATGATACTACAGTCGCTTCTGTATTACACAAATACTCGAGATGTTACAAATTTGATGAAAATGCGATTCCAAATATCATGTTTCAAGAAATTAACGTTTTTGAGGAACAAATCAAACGTCAAAATTACGGAGTTAATTCTTCATATCTAAATGAGTAAACAATATGTTTGAAAATAACTATTTGCATTGACATTAGAAATCAAAAGTTAAATTTTCCATGGAAAATAATAAAGTTGAACCAACACGCAAAGGATGAATTTAAAGAACATATTTTTGAGAATGATAACATTATGGTGATTTATTCGGAAAATAATGAAACTCATTCAGTATGACGTACGGGCAGGGGCAATTGCTTATTTCAGGTTTGAATTTATTTGTTATTGAAATATTTTGAAAATATAAAATTATAATCATTTAATTATGAACGTAACTGTTTCTTCGCAGGCATTAATATATCCCCTTGAATTTGTCAACCACTTGGATAATTCAACATTTAAAGATCCTCCAATTTATACGGGTAGAATTTTATTATCAGCAACTAAAAACCGTACTCTCGAAAAATGGGCAGAAAATTTATGTGACAATGATTTGAGAAACTTAATTAATGACAAAAACAATAAGACTTTTCTTTCAAAAATTATCGGTGAAATGGATAAAAGCAATCATTCTTTAATAAATTTACATGTAGATGAGCTGTATTAATTAATTTATTATTGAATAAATTTCATATTAAGAAAAATAAAAACTTTCTTTTAAAAATATCAAAAACTTTAACTATAAAATAAAATTTTTTATTGTAGAGCGTTGTTTTTATGACTTAAATAAGTGATAAGGCTAAAAAATTTTTTATCGTCGCAGTATAGAAATAGAATTGATTATTTTCGATAAAACCCTGTTTTGTAGCAGTCGAAAGAACTCGGTTACTAGAACGTGTGTAATATAAAAAAAAAAAAAAATGAATATTTTTGTTGTTATTGGAATGATTATAAACGTAGTAAAAATGGAGGAATATCATCCAGGTGATACGATTAATATTTATAGTCAAAATAATTATGTAATTAGTAAAATATTCAACGGTTTTAGTGGCGCTAAATATATAAAAATAGAAAACGTTTCTCGGACAAATGGTTATGAAATATTCTATGAATCATGTTTACCGTTCGAATCTTTGGATCAATATTTATACCCAGATGTTTTCATCGATCAAAAAAAATCATCCAGCGTATCGTCAAAATTATTTCACTACATAAAACAATTAAGGAATTCAAATTTAAACGTTAAGTCGTTTTACATAGATAATCATAAATTTCTGTATGGAATTGTAAAATTGTGCAAAACCGTTGAAACGAAAAATTTAAATATTAAGCTGATTAATCGGAATCATTTTCCAAAATTTTACGAATACGGTAGCCACAATATTCTAATGAATGAAACAATTCTTTTTCGACTCAAGCAAGACAATGAAACTCATTACATTTCGTCTGTTAACATTGGAACTTGTCTATTCCAGGTAAGAAACATCGAAATTATTTACACGATTCCATTAAACAATATCATTAATGTGTTTTATTAAACTTATAGATTTACGTTCACCAGTGGACAGCGTGTGACAGTGAAACAAAAAAAAAATTTAACCATTATGAATCCTTTTTTCAAGATGCAATCTATAAAACTCCTTTTATAACTGTCAGTTATAATCATGAACTTGAAAATTCAATTAACGGGTATTATTTCTTGCATAACATCGAATATTCTCTACATAAATTTCGACAATTAGAGTGGAACCATCAAAATAGTATTTTGAATATGTTTGGAAAAAATTCCGTAGTTTATTTAGAATTACAAACACTGGCTGAACTACCTCATACCGTAAAACCAAAAAATCAACCACTTACAGTTAAATTAATCCATAAAGCAAAGCTAAAAGATTTGCATCCTGGCTATCTATTAAATCTAAATGAGTTACTTGGTAATAACTCCGATCATGTTTCTATTAAAAATATTTTAACTGGTACAAATAACTTTTACACTACAAATCCTTTTGTTGAAAGTAATTATCTAAACTGCTCAGACCTCAATGAAAGTGAGAGTCCGAGCTTTGGAACTAAAAAATTCAATATTTTTTATGAAATTATTAAACATCAAAATTATGGAGTTGATCGTATCTACTTAAATCAACTTAAAACATGCTTGAAGATAATCGTTTGCTCAAAAATGTTTCATGAAGAGTTTTATATTCCTAAAGTGGAAATAATAAAATTGAATCAAGGCACGAGAAATAATTTTAAGAAGAATATTTTTGAGAATAAAAATATTATCACGATGTATTTGGAGGGAAATGAAACTCATTTTATTAACCACACGGAAAAGGGCGAATGTTTGGTTCAGGTGATAGTATTTCCGTTTCAATTTTTTAATGGTTTCAAATATTCAAGTCACAATGATTCTCCGGTTTACATGGGAAAAATATTGTCTGCTTCTAACAACGAAACTCTCAAAACATTGGCTGGAAACCTTTTTAACAATGATTTAAGAAGTATTATAGAACCCAAAAAAAAAGATTTTCCTTTAAATGCACTTTATGTCGAACTCAATAAAAGTACACAAATAAAGAAAACTCTGTTAAGTGTATATTTAAATGAATTGTATTAAAAATAAACTGAACAGTAACATCTTTCCAAAATAAACAATCTCTGAGATCATAATTTTTTTGTCCTATAAATAAATTTAAAAAAACCGATCAAAATTAAAGTTTATTACCTTCTACGTCTCTATCAAATAGTTGACAGCAATAACTGATAATTCCTACCAAAAATAATGACATTAGATTACTCATTATCTATTTTTTATGACTAAAAATAAAAACGTTATTATCGATCTTACAACAGTTAACTTAAAGTGCTAACAGTTATAAAATGTGTGAAATAAAAAATAAGGTACCTATATTGATATTCAATTTCATTGTGATTATTGTGACAAATCTCGATGCAACTAGAATACCTTTGATAGAATTATCTGTCGGTGACATACTAAATATACATGATTTAAGTTTTAATTCAGTCAAAAAAATCGGTGACTTATTCAAAGGCTATAATAGGAATAAATTCATAAAAAATGTATCATATCCTGATAACAGTCTTGCTCTTGTGATGTTGAAACAACCATGTTTATCTCTGGAATCATTGCAGCTGTACAGTTATCAACAAATTTGGGTCAAGAAAGGAAAAAAATTGACATCATTACCTCTCAGTTATTTTGATACTAATGATTTAGGTATTCCTAAGTATTACTTAAGTAATCGTTATATCTACGGTCTCGTTCAAGTTTGTCGTGTAATTAAATCATCTGAATTAAATATAAAAGTTATTGATAAATCTGATTTACCGAATATTAAACTAGGAGTCTATGAGAAAGTCTTATCTAATTCAACAGCTGTTTTTCGTTTGAAACAACACAATGAAACTCATTACGTATCATCAATCATCACCGGAAATTGTATTTACCAAGTAAAATAGCATAAATAATATTTAAATTACTTTAAATAAATTTTTGAAAATTATTACACATAGATTTTTTAAATTACAGGTCTATGTAAATCGTCATAAATTTTGTAACACTGCCACTAATTTTAACCCTCAAAAAATAGATACATTTTTTGAATCTTCGGTCAACCAAAGTTTCATCATGTCTGCAAATAATAATCAATCTATTGATGATTGGATCAATGATTATTATACTCAATCTGACTTGTATTATTCCTTGCACTCATTTTCTAATTTTTCAAAGCAAACACAGCTAGAGATTTTTAATCATCTTGGAAATGAAGTTGTGATAAACCTTGAGTTACGGCCACTGCTCAAATTACCGCGAACAAAAAACAAAATTAGACGGATGAATCATCATAAATCATTGAATCAATTGCAAATTGGTGATATCATAGACATAAAAGATTTGGAAAAAACCGATTCGCATTTAAATGTCGATCATAAATTATATGAGTTATTCCAGCATTACTCGGCAATACCATTTATAAACTACAATTTTACTGATTGTATTAACTACAAAAATTCCGAAGAAATTGATTTCAAATTGATGAATAATACGGATTCACTTGATGGTCACTCAACCTTCAAATTTTATGAAAAAATAAATGTTTTTGAAGAAATTGCTAAAAGAAAATACTACGGAGTAAAACGCGAATACTTGAATGAAGCTTACAAGTGTATCAAAACTACGATTTGCTCAGAATTTGAAGTATGGAAATTAGATACTGCGTTTTCTAACATTATCAATCTGAACGGTAAAATGATTAATTATAAGAATTATATTTTCGACAGAGAAAAAGTCATTTTAACTTATGGTAGAGATAAAACACATTACGTTACACGTACTGAGAGCGGCGATTGTTTATTCCAGGTAATTTCATTTTTCACTAATATAAATATAATTTTTATTCTTACATTTTTCTTTTATTTTAGGCTCTTATTTTTCCCGCAGCATCTAATAATACCAATTTTTCGAATCCATTGTACGCAGGACGGATAATATCAGCTAGTAATAATTCCGTTCTTGAGAATTGGGTGGAAAACTATCTCGATAACAAAAAAAGAAATCTTTTTAATATTAAACAGGACATTTTAGCCCAAATGACTATAGTTGAAAAATTGAAAAATAGAAATTTTGTTTTGATAAATATTTATCTAGACAGAATATTATAAACTTAAATATGTTAAATTTTTTTTTATAAAAGTACGAAGAAAATATTAATCATGATTAAGTCAGTTTTATACACTGCATCTCATAAATCTCATGTAGATTTGCCCGCACAGGTTGAAATTTAACTATTTAGCCAGTGAATAATTTATTAGTAGAGCATTTAATTATTGAAGATAAATATACATACATATACCACCCGACGAGATGTTTATTAATATCTGTATTCATATTTAATATAACTTGACAGAAATAACGTCAAAGAAGATCAGAGTTGTTTTTTTCCTGCTTTCTAATGACCTTAACTGCTCTACATATTATTTATATTTTTATTGTAATTAAAACAATTAGCCGACGACCTTGTTGGACGAGTGAAGGTATCGAGTCAATCAACCCTTGGATATTTGAATTTATATCAATATAAATACATACAATTATAAAACTTTCTGTTTCCAAGGAAGTTATTATTATAAGTTAAATAAATATACCGCCTAAGGTAATTATTTTCAGCGCCGGTGACATTTTAAAGCACTATTAGATTGTCATTAAACGTCTGTCATTTTTATAATTATTAATTCTATTAACTTGATTGTTAATTATTACTTTATTACTCATTAAACATTTTATTATTTGCTTATTAATTTGGCATATTTCAATTTTGTAACTGATAAAACCTTTAATATTAAGAAATATTTCAGCATAATTGAGTACCGGCGAAAAAATTGATACGTATATGATTGTTTGTTTGATTTAAATAAATTTTTAAAATACATAAATCTTATGCTGTTGTTTTTAATGAATAACTGAAGATGGTATATAGATACTTGGAATGATAATGAGTGTCAATTATTGCCCTCGAGCAACCAATAAATCACTCGATCGATATTTTCTGACCTTGTTTCGCACGAGTCGGTGATGCGATTTTAATTATGAATCAGTTGTACATGTTAACTTTTTTTTTCCTTACTTTGTTATTTATTTATTTATTTATTTTTGTAATTTATTTATCGACAAGCAAATGGTGAATTCAAGTTTCGACTGTGATTTACTTTTTAGATAAAAATTTAAATCGTAATAATTATTTATAAAAATATAATAGGATAGAAAATGAAAAGAATTGTATCAAGTTCACTTTCGAAAAGGAAAATATTACGAAAAATATTTACTGTAAACACAATTAAAAGTGAGAGCGAGATTAAAAGTTTGAAAAATGATCAGATCATTTTAGTCCGAGATGTGCAATAACTTAAAAGCATTTAAGAAGGTCAGCTCTTGGAAAAAAAGGTCAAGTGATACTTTTGTTATTATCTTATTGCAATCATTGAATACACATAGAATTATTTGATGGATGTACAAAAAAGTGATGAAGACGATTTGACAATGGAGAATAAAAGAATAAAAGAATAAGTAATAATAGATTGAGAGTAGACGTTAGAAATGTGTTGAAGATGATTATGAATAATGATTAAATAAACCCATCCAATCACCTTGGCAGTGAAATATTAATTTTATCGTTTAGATTTTGTCTTGAGCTATTTTTTCTTTCGTAATACTTTCTTCTCCTCGTACTTACATAATGATTAATGAACGTACTTACAAAGAAAAAATTTAAAATTCGATGTAAATAAAATACATTTAAGTCTATACATTTTTTTAATGCACCATTTCGTAAAGTTTAAGAGTTTTTTTGTTTACGGTGTCACAATAATAGTAATAGATGATATAAAAAAAAAAGAGAAAAAAACTGGTGACTTTTCTAAAATATTAAAATTTAACGCGCGCATTTCAAACAGAGCACTCGGGAGGGTGTTGTAAATATTTAAGCTGTTTTGTAAATGTTGAGTCTAATAGCCGATTACAGATCATTCAGCGAATCGTTATCCTCGCGGTAAAACACAAGAGAACGCCAACGCTTGCTCAGTAGCTGTTAAATTGCCTTTAGTTTCTATTCGTTCTCGGTAAGTCTTAGGAAATTATTATCATTATTGAAATTTTAGTGCTCACTATTGCACTCATAGGAATGTGAGAAAAAATTATCTCATTTTTTATTTATTCTAATTACTAATAATTATTTTCAAATCATCTAGAAAGGCTGACACAATTAAAGGTATTTATTTTTTACAATATTTGTCTGAGTGACGAATTTAACTATACTCATTAATTTCAGGCATCAGAGCATTGAATTGTAAGAGCGTAAAAATCCCGATAGTATCATATAAAAAAAATTTGAAAGTCACGTCTAATTACGAGCTTAGACGCCGAATTTGATATCTATAATCTGTATGAGATGAACGATGACCTCAGGTCGGCAGTATCTGCTGTCTGATGCTAATAAAAAAAACGTTAGACCAGCACGCGCGGCTTTTAATCTAACGCCGAGATTTATTTCGGATTATACAGACGTTTGGATATGAATTAGGCCAACAGGTCACTCATTAATCGCCCAACACTCTTTAATTTTTTTTATCTTCACTTTTAACATCTACTGATTCTTACTATGATAGTCGCGTTTTTTAGATTCACACTTACATAATTTTTAAGCATGAATAGTCATTCGCTATCGCTAGATATTTATAAAACGATTATTACCTAAAAAAACTATAATAATGAATAAATAATTGAGGTAATTGATTATTTTGCAATTTTAGAGTTCGCAACCTGGTCAGTACTCGTAATAGGCTCGAGTGCGCTTGAAAAGATCGATAAAGTGCAAACAAATCCAATTACCGATACGCTAGATGATTTTATAGAATACAATATAAATAATATAATACACAAGGTATGTTTATTTGTTAAAATTATTTTTCTCAAATCAAATGCGTTACCTAACGCAAGATCGTAAACTTAAATATCATAAGCTCGTATATATTGTTCTATATGTGTTTGTAAATGATAGCGTTTATAACAAAGAGAAAGACAGACAAGGGATTGTTTAAAACACCTGATTGTTTTGTAAAAATATCGGGCGTGAATTATGAAATTACACGGTATGTGTGTATAAAAATATAAGACATAAGGATATATATAAAGATAAAAAGCAAAAAAGACTTACGTCTGGATGAGTTCCAACGCGTAGCGATACTTGTCTTGTCAAAGAAGTTCTTCCTGACTCACTTCTCTCAAGGAAACGATGGTCAACATTTAAAAACTCGCTGTCTTTCTCCTTACTTTTATTTTGGTCTTTTAAAAGATTAACAAAAAAAAATAAAAATAAAATGTTGTACATAATAAAAATAAAGTGTAGACTCACCATAACGCTTCCTGCTTTAATTCGCAACACTCTTCCCTTGGGATTGGTCTCTTTGATCGATCGTCAATCAACGCAGAATAAAATCCGTTTTGCTCAGAGATTTCGAGTCACGAGTCAGAAATAATCGGCCTGACGATTTGATCGTTCACCTCTACTCACCTGCTGCAATAAAATAAATTTTTTTACTTTATATTATTTATCAATAAATGCTGAGTTAATTTTTATTTCAATTTATAGAGTTAATTGCTAAATAACTAATTCTTTCGACAAAAAAATTATTTAATTATCAATTAATCGAATATATCTTTTTGTTGTTTAATAAATTTTTTTTTATTATTATTTTTGATAGTGATATGTGTTGAGTAATATTAATTTTATAATGTCAAGAGTGACTGAATAACTTTCGATTTGTCGTATTGGTAACAAAAGAAACGTCAACTCTATAATATAATATATAATATAATAATTACGAAATTTAAATGTAATTGTTGATTACGATATTGCCAAAGAATTTTTATTCAAAGAAATCAATTAATCTGAATTATCAAAAATGCGTTGATGTCGATGTCAGTGTAAGATATCTACCAGATGATGCATTCTGTAGATTGAGATACAAATATGTTCAATATAATAAAGTATTATACACTTATGATTACGATTGACAGTTGACGTCAATAAAATTATTTTTAGCTTTCTACCTTGTTGGTTTTTTTTTTTTCAATTTTAACAAACTAGACCCACCTAAAATGGACAAAAAATTTTTTACCCGAAGAAGGATATCATCCTTTGAATTGATAGTGCACAGAAAAAAAGGTTCACTTGAGCCAAGAAAATATTTTTCTTCCTTATTTTCTTGAGCGAAAAAAAAATTTTTTTTTGACACAACACAGAAAAAAAATGTTCTTGAATAAAGTATATATTTTGGAAGAGCTCAATTAAATATTCTCTTGGTTTGAGTAGAAAAATTCTTGATTTAAGGAGATTTTTCTTGATTTAAGGAAATTTTATTTAATTTAAGAATTTTTTCTCTTGATTCAAGACAATTACCCTCTTCAAAATTATATTCTTCGTTCAAGAATTTTTCTCTTTAATCAAGTTAATTTTTTTTTCTGTGAAAAAATTT